AGCACTGAGAACAGCAATGAAGGGTTGGCATCCTCAGCCAACGCTTCGTCAGAAGCGTGCTGTTCCAGCGGACAGCACTGATGTGGATGTGTTCCGCTCAATGAGCGTAAGCGATCTTTGGGTAGATGCAGACTTGCCCAAAGTATATAGATACTTGAGACAGAACAAATCCCTGGTCATTCCCGATACTTGGCATGAGGCCATTAGGGAGTTTGACATGGCACTGGATGCTGCCTGCCCACCATAGGGATTCAAATTCCAAGGGGGCCCGGGCATACCTGAGAAACCCTGATGTGTGAAGGAAGAAAATCATGTCATCAAACTTTTTCTATGATTTTCTAATGGAACTCAACTTTTTTCATTTTATACCAGGGGGAAACTACCCGCAAAAAGTACGCAAGTCCCCGCAAAAAGTACGCAAATACCCGCAAAAGTACGCAAATCGGGATTTCTGAACTTTTCAAAAATCAGGGTTCAATGATATTCAATTGGTTGATGGCTTACCCTCAACCAAATTTACAATATTACTTCCTCATGGGGTGCAATGGTGAAAAATGGTGCGATGTTTGCAGGGACGTTCGTGATATTCAGTGATCAGGTAACACGGTAAAACCACTTGGCTTTTGCAAGCATGTTGATTCAAACATATTTTCATTCACAGGCTCAAGCGAAAAGATCTGCAGTGAGGGATGCATTCGTGTCCGACTTTGAAACAAGGGATTGCCACCCTAGATACCACAGACCCAATGGCCGTGGAGGCTGCCTTGAATGTTGGGGCCTAAACTTCAAACCTGTAACCCCCCATGCAAGTTCAGAATCCCTACCATTCGCTCAGGCCACACATGCCCAAATCCGTGAGCTTCAAGCCGCTCTGGGGGCAGAACATGGGTTGGCTCCAGGCAGCACTCTTGGCACTGCCACTGGTCCAGGCCTGGGTGTCAAGGAAGTCTATATATGCATTTTTTTTACAAATCATATGTCCAGAGGGTTTAGTATTGGAATGGCATGTCTATTAATGATGAGGGTGGCAAAATCATATTTGTTGGATGGAAGGCTTTCATCATGAACCTCGAACTGCTGGAGTTTTTGTCCCGGGCCATGCTGCTGCTTCAATTGGAGAGGTTTCTGGTTTAGCCAAAACCCCTTCAGCCGATGTTCTCATGACACTGCCTACCCTTGAAATGGGAAAGTCAACCAGCAATCTTTCCTTGGAAGGTGGAGCCCCAACCCCGAAAAGGTTGGACATGTCTCCTCATGGTTTGCCCCCAACTTTGAGGGATGGATATTCACAAACATCAATGGCATCAGAAAGCCCTACCATCCCTGGTGATTTGAATAACGTGGCTCCGGCCACCGTGAAAGTGCCACCGCCACCAGAACTGCCCCCGGGCAGCTCCAGTTCAACCCCAGAACAGAGCACCAAGACCGAGCCAGCTGAAACCAAGACCGAGACCAAGCCAGCTGAACCAGCTGTGGAGACACCGCAGCCACCGCCACCCCCAGCCACCACTGAGAGCCCGAACGCCCCAAAGGCTCCAGCCCTTGCCCCCACAGCTCCTGCAGGGGCACCGCCGGGGTCTTCCGGGGTTGACCAGCCACCAGAGCCGGAAGGGAACATGTATAGCGATGGGACCTATTGGAGGACACTTTAGTCTCTCAAATGGGGGTGTCAAAACTTTACCCAATTGCCTTTTAGCTATATATATATAATATATGTATATGTGTTTTTTTTTATATCTGGGGGATATGGTGGTTTGGTGACTTTGACACTTTCCCTTTCCCATATATGTCATCACGATTTATGGAAGCTAATTTATGAATTCAGAATGGTAAGCAATAGAACCTAATCATAAGTAGGTGTATATATACTATATATATATGTGTGTGTGGGTGTGTATTACTGTGTTAATATATATTATGTCAGACATACGAAAGGTAGTAATCATCATATATATCGGTAACTATCACCACGATATACGCCAATCCAACAATAATCTATGCCCACTCGTTCCTTGCAGGATGGACAGGTACATGAAGAGTGTGCAAAGGGGAAAAGCCACGGCAACCCCAGAGCTTGTTAAGCTTTGGGGAAGTGAAGCTGGGAGTGACAGGGTTGCAAACAGTGTTGATTTAGATTTTGTATGTACTGGTTGTCCTTTATAATGGGTATTGCAAATCATTTTTTTCTCAGGAAAGAAACTTCGGGAGCTTCTCCTTAATCATGGTTCGATGAAGGAGGTCAATCTGCACATTGAGCGTGAATTTGTTCAGGACCGAATGAACCTGGTTAACACATGGCATGACATGCTGGTCCTGGGCCTGCCGCAGGAACAGAAAGATACGGTCCTGGGCAGTTGGATGACGGAAGCCAAGCTTGCCTTGAAAGATGGATGGGATGAGTTGGGCCCCAAAATCAATGTCGATCACCAAATCACATCACCACATCACCATGCAATGCAACTAAGCCCTTTGACTGGTTTATTTTTGAACATCTGGGGTTGCTAAGGTCGATGGTGAAGTGTGCCGTGAAATGGGCCACCGAGCGTGGCCTAACAAGAACCAATCCCGTTCATGGGAAAACCGAGTTCAGGGTGCCGACTGATGAAACCTTTGAACATTCGGATACGAACAGGTCTTTGCAACGAGCTTCGTCTTCCATCGCGTTGGAGGCTTGATGGGGCTGTTCCTGGCAGTGAGAGAGATCATAGCTGCACCCAATGCCTTTTTTTCTATATATATCATATATAGCCATTATATATAAATTATATGTTAATTTATTGGGTTTTGCAGGGTGGTCAAGATCTTCTACTTGGATGTGGTGCCAGCCTCACTGCCGAAATGGCAGTGATGAACCTTGGAAACACAACCGTGCTATCACCATAACAAGTCAACTGGATCAAGATTGATCAAGATATGGTGTAACAACTCGTCACTCAGGAGGGGAGCCAACACTTCCAATGAGGGCCTTACTTTGGCTGGTCTTCGTGAGCGTCAAAAACCAAAGAAACAAGGTTTGCAGTTCCCAGTGTTGCAGTGTGGTGCTGACCCGGTCAGTACTTTGGATGCAAAAAGATGGATGCATACCTCAAGCAAAATCACTCCTCCCAAACACTCCTCCCAAACAGTCCTCAACAGCGTTTTCTCTAAGGCCAGTTGAGCACGTTCCTGGAAATTGCTTCCAGGAAGTTGACCACAGCTGAGACTTTGCAAGAGAAGGTTGAACAGATCAACTCACACCGTGGAAACCAGTTTCTTGCACCAACAAAGGTATTCGTCATGATGAAAGAAAATCAAGCTGTTCCATACCGTTGCTAAGAACTTATTTCATACTTAGGCTGCTTACAGAGTTCAAGGATAAGCTTGACAAGTTCAAAGCGCAACACCAGAAACTCCTTGAGATGGAATCCAGAATTCTGGTTCTGGAGCATGAGCCGGATGCGTTCCAGCCTCAGTGGCCAGTGAAAATCGAAGAACCCAGTCAACTCACTCAACTTCATCTGCAGGGCAACCAAACAAGAACTTCGCGGAGTGATCGTCCAGCTGATCAAGGATGACTGCGCTTTGAATCATGTGGCTGTTCGCTGCAGGCTTGTTAAAATTCAATCTCAGCCAAGTACGTTTAATTACTTGCCTGCTGTCATCACCGAGTCTCAAATTCTAAGACATGATCGAGTTTCAAATCAATGAATGCTAAGACCATCTCAGAGCAAAACTGTGCCAGGGCCGTCAAGGCGACGCCGAAGCCCAAAACAGCACCTGGCATTGCCAAAAGCAAGGCGAAAGCGAATGCCAAGAAACGCCCCCGACCTGCCACCAAGGTGGAGCCAGACGAAGATGATGATGACGAGCAGGAGGAGGAAGAGTCCGAGACAGAGGAAGAGGAGGAGGACCCGACCCCGAAGAGGAAGATCCCCCCAAACAAACCGAAAGCAACTGCCAAAGGCAAAGCCGGCGCCAAGAAGAACTCAGCATCCAAGAAAAAGTGACTTTCTTTTGGGCCCACTAATCTTCATAAGTTTTGCTTCTGATTCTACAGCTGGGGAATGCTGAGAACAACTTTTGTTGCAACGGTGTGCCTATACGTGGCTATTTTCATATTTGGAACTGATAGTAAAAGGCTTATTGTTTGCGCAGCTTTTCAAACAGTAGGTCAACAGATTTGTGAAAAGTTTGGCCACACTGGCTACCGCTGCCCTGTGAAAGCATTTGGCGAGAGAAACTTCCAAGACGCAAGACCGGAAAAAAAAGAGATGCAGCTGAGTTTATGTTGTAGCACTGTAGCACCTGCACCAAAGTTCTACAAACTAGTGCTGCTTCATGCCAGGTGGAGCTGCTAGTGCTGCCTACTTCCGAGGTGCGGGTCTTTCTGGAAGCTGCGCCCTTTAGCTTTTGGGATTTCCAGGTGGTAATGTATCTCGTGCCGGCCAGGACGTGGAGATGATGAAAGTAGTAGCGATGATGCAGCTGCAACAGAGCTGGCAGGGGAGATCATGGTTGATTATGTTTCAGGTGTTTCTCGGTTGATACTCTTCTTCGAAGCCATACTATACTGCTCACATATTTTCCTATATGGGTTGATTTGATTTATTTTCCCCAAGGCTGAGTCTGCCTACAGAACTGGAAAGCTAGCAGCGATGGCTTGCAAAGTTCGGAAGAACAAAGGTTTCCTGGCTTCATGTAAGTAGAATGTAGTGAGCACGTTACTGCATGTACACGTGTACTAAGGTGCTAGAGACCTCTTGCACAGGCTAGCTCGCGTCGGCAAGAGCCGATTGAACGCTTGCAGAGACTTGCACCGGATCTTGCACAAAACCAAAGGTGTCCTACTTCCAATCAAGATTGATGTGTGCGCCGTGCATATCATGCGGAAGAGGCCAGTGAGGCGATACCAGGTATGGTTCCCAATCCTGAAGCTTAGCAGCTGGATCAACTACTTTGTGAAGAACAAACCCCAAATGATTTTGGGTGGATACCATGTGTCCCAGGCCCAGGAGTGGCAAATGATGCTGGGGGCATTCTGGCAAACCTACCAAGCAACAAACCCGGGACATCCAGTCTTTTCCACCCCCTTTGATCTTAAAGGATGCGTGCCAATTTTTCTTCATGGTGATGAAGGCCGTGGCCTTGCCAGAAGACCCTTTATGGTTTTGAGTTGGCAAACAGTCATATCCCACCATGGTCCTGGTGTTTGCAACGACTCAACGCAACTAGGAGGCCATTAGTCTTGCAAGATATTTTTTCAACAAATAGTTACCATTGATGTCAACAGGACCTGGATTGCACAGTGAGTTAAGGCACAGCTTCACAACTCGTTTTCTCTTCTCGGCCATCTCCGCCAGCCTGTATGATGGAGATCGGTCTCTTGATGATCTCCTGGATGAGTTTGCTACAGAGCTGATTGAAGCTTATGAAAATGGTATTTGTGTGGCTTGATTCAACAATACCATCATGCCACTTTGGGTAGAGGGCTTCTCACAAGTGTTGACCTAGCTTTACAACTCGATTGAACAAAAGTTAGATGTCACTCCTCCAAGATGGCATCGCCCTGTTCTGTGAGGACATAGCTGGCATCCGCCTGCGCATCGTTTGCATTGGAGCCAAAGGAGATTGGCCATATCTCCACAAAGTATCTTTGGCTCTACATGGTGTTTTCTTGGGGCATAGCGTATAGCATCTAACCTCTACCTATTCATGTATATATTCATCTTTATATGTCTATCACTGTTTTTATCATTGACCTACATCTGTTTATATCTATATCTATCTATCTACATCTATCTACCGATATCCTTCCTATTAAATCTTATTTTCTGTCTCTAATATCTCTAATTATCTTAATCTTTCTATACCGATCTCTATCTATCTTTTTCTATCTTTATTTATCTATATCTATTTAAAATCTATTTCTACCTAGATATCAAAATCATTCAAAATCTATCTATACCAACATCAATACCTATATCTATATTTAAATATAAATATATATATATATATCCCTATATCTGCATCTATCTATATCTATCTTTCTGTCTTTCTAGCTATCGACATCTCCACCTCTATCTCAATCTCAATTTCTATATTTATCCATATCTACATCTTTCTATTTCCAGATATTTCTATATATTCATCTATTTTCTATATATATATATATCTATCTATCTATCTATCTATCTATCTAACTATCTCTCTCTCTTTCTTTACCTATATATATATATATTCATCACTCTGTATCTACCTTTACCTACCTATATTTGTCTGTCTCTACCTTTACCTATCTAAATTGATTTATTTTTCCCTATCCATCTCTACCTTTAACTATCCATGTCTACCTTTACCTTTCTAGACCTACATCCATATCAAAACCAAATCTATGATAAAGATAAAAATACAAATATATATATATATATATTACAGTATATCGGGTTATTTTTATTATACATGATATCCGGCTATGTGTAGAAACACATGTCTGTTATGTACATTGGTATATATTGGTATATTGTACCCCCAATAACATATCGAAAGAAATACCCATCTGATCCACTTCTAGTATTTGTAGGTTTCTATCCTGCATCTCTGTGGCCAATGGCGGCCCTTTCTGAATTCCAGGCATTCAAGTTGATTTCTGGGTTTACATCAACCCGCCTTTGTCACAGATGCACTTCCAAGGATTGCGGAAGAGGGATTTGATTTCATTCGCATTAAAGTGCCACAAACCATTTGTGAAAGCTGCGAATTTCCATTCTAAACTGAAAGAGAATCCCAAGCAAATAGTGGGTGCCCTGTCCTTTTTCCCGCTCCCATATGCAGGAGTGGGAAAACCCATCAAGTTCCGCAGCTTGGCGGAGGCTGGGCCCAGGTCCCAGCCCTTTCAGACCTGGGTGTGTCTTGCTCAAAGTGCCTGGTCTTGGGACTCCAGAAGCCGTGCTCTTAGACTTTTGCCATATATTCCACCTTGGCTACGGTCAGGACATCGCAGCCAGTTCTGTGGTATTGTTGGCACATCTGAACCATTTTGCCGGAAGTAAGTTGAAACACAAGCTAGAGACTGCTTACTTCCGCTTTGATGAGTGGTGCCGCGAGCATGGGCATACGTCTCATATTCAAGCATTTTCTCGGCAAGCGTTTGACATGTCTTCGATCCTAATCTGCATTTGTTGAAAGTGATTCCCATACATAGTGCAGTTGAAGTTCTTCAAAATATCTTAAAGCCATATATATATATATAACTCAGGAACCAGGATTGGCCGACCAGTATTGGGAGCAGCAAGGCGTACGATACCGGCCTAGTCATCGCTTGGCTGGAGGATGATCTCCATGTAGAAAGCGAGGCTTTCGGCATAGCATGGTGGGAATTTTCTCCTGGTGAATCATTATATAGTGTTTCCTTGTTGGTGGTTTGTAAAAAAAAAACAATTTTTACCATATCTTTGAACAAACCCATACAATAACCCCATTTGTGGTAGATCCAACAATGCGCTGGTATCAAAATTCCCATCGGAAACAACATATTGTGACTTTGGCCTAAAACATGCTTAGCCAGAAAATACATGTCAATTCGGTTTGGGTGATGTTAGATAGGTATATACCTAAAACTCTTGTACGTTAGAAGGTGCAATATTGATTCTAGATGTTACATGTTGTACCACCCCTGAAATTAAATCATGTTGCAGGTGGACACTGCGGATGAGATGTACCAGCTTTGCGCTTATCTCCTCAAATGCTGCAACAGGTTCTTTCGCCTGATCAGGACCCAACTTTGAGCCAATGTGGTTCTTGTTCATTTGGGCTGCAAGGTTTTTTCTCTGCAACCCAACAGGAGCAAAGGAATTTGGCTTTGGGGGGAAGCCTCTTCTGATGCAATGCATTATGGGTGTGAAATGAATGCATCTCAGATGCACCTACATGTATATGTGTGCTGCATTTTGTTCATCAATGGCCAGCCAATTCGTTATAATATGAGATTTTGGTTTGGCACCCTAGGTGGCATTCGCAAACTTAGCCGGCAAAGCTTTCTCACGTGAGCTGAAGCTCTACAAGTACCGCCCAAAGTTTCACCTGGGGACACACCTTGCCCTAGACCTTGAGGGCGAGGTGTCAATGAACCCATGTTGTAACCTGGCTACTAGTAGTTAGCTGTTGCGTGATTCAACCCTTGCTTTCCTCAAGCATGATGATGCCAGCAACTCAGGCACAGCAACATGTCAGGATGAGGATTACATTGGCCGTGTGTCCCGCTTGGGGAGAACCTGCCATCCTTTGACGCAGACCTTTCGGTGTTTAGAAAAAAGCTTGGGGATGCACCAGGTCCAGTTCAAAATGATCTCGGACATTGTGTAACAATGCTGTGAACACCGCACTTGGGGAAAAGACTGCCAGGATGTACATTGGGGGATGGAAGAGGCATATAGAAAGTTCAGTTCCCAGAATAGTTCAGTTTTATCCAGAAAAGTTCAAATAGTTCAAATAGTGCAGAAGTTCAAAAAGTGAAGAAATTTCTTCACTTTGGAAGGTCCAGGTACCATTAATTGTGACTCTTTGGAGGGTACCCCCTAATTAATAAACCATGGTTGACATTCTTCCAGCGAGCAGCGATGTTCAACTCGCCCAGATCTATGATGTGGAACCTCCCAGCGATGACAACGAGAGACGGAGGCGGTCCACAGAGTTGACTGCAATGTGCGACCAGATTGGGACTCCTATTTCTAGGTCAATCTTACAAATTGAAATTAATGGGAATATCTACTAACCAGCAAAGATTTTTTTTTTTGCAGGGTATCTAAGATTGGCAATGATTTGGGGCATGTGAATTTCCATTCTGGATTGGTGAAATCGTCATGTTTCTTGCTTCGATTTTGGTGCATGAAATCCATTGAAATCCCAAAGTCTGCAGCTGGAGAGCGTCTGGTAAAAATATGATGTGACCTTTGCATGTATAAAGAAACATGACCCACACTTTTGGGTCCAGGGATTCATCTTCGATTCCAAGCTGATAGCAGATTCCTCCACTACATAGTCAGATGGAGGAACGCCTCCGATTAGTCTTGCGTGTTCTATGATGCTCTATTCAATGCCTGGTGTATCAGTATGTATCGTATTCATATCGTATTCCAGAACTATACATGATTGTTCCTGTTATTTGATGGCCATATAATTGGTGGTAAATCCTTGTAAATCAGCCACATGTCAATTGGCCTTGCGGTTTTGAATATGTTCATGTATGGCAGTCACTGGATTTCATGTTGCTGGGGTCGGGAAACGAAACAGCAACGGAAAAAACCTTCCCTTAAATGTCGCGAGGGTACTCGGCGGTTCATACCGGGTGACAAGTTGTGTAAGTAGGGTTATTCCACTGAAGCCCGGTTTTATATGTTTATATATGTTTATATATGTTTATATATGTTTATATATGTTTATATATGTTTATATGTTTATGACATCCGTTCCAATCCTAATCAGCCGCCAGGTACAACACCTTTTAAATCCATTCTTATTACATCCCATTATATATTCATGTCCCATTGTACATCTAACGTTAAATCACGATATTATTACCTAATCCACATGCCCCATGTAAGGAATATTCACCAAGATCATCTACACTAAGACTTACCCAAATGTAGGCAACATCATTGGTCATTATTTCCATACCATGGGTCAGATATCCCATATCATTATCCAATATCATGTCCCATAGCTGCCATAGCTACTACAGCTAATATATTCCATAGCTAATAATATCACGTATCACAATATTACCATTTTGATTACCATATTACAATATATATATATATAGATATAGATATATTAATGAATTAATGTATATATATATATATATACATAGAAAGAGAGAGAGAGATGTATCATGATGTATCCCAATCCCAATATAATTGATCTCTTTATATTATATCCCATTACACATTAGATGACCAGAGGCTATGGTATCTGCGCAGGTTATGGACCACGCTGGAGGAAGTCACCGCTCGAAGACGACTCTGTCGCCAGTTGCCGCTGGGTTTCGACTGGGGCGGCGATTCCATGGGTTTTGATCTTCTGTGGGCGAATTAAGAATGGTAGGGTTAACCATCTGGGGAAATTATAACGACCTCACTGCGACCTCACTGGAATCATGGTTAATAAGAGGAATCATCCCAACATGGCCTTATTTCAGGGTAGTGAATTATTGTAATTTGCCCAGAACCATTGAAAACCATGGTCAACTATGAAAAATGGATAAAAATGAAGGTTGAACTCCATGAAACAAAGGGGGATTCAAGCATGTTTTAGCCATGAACAAATGATTATTGATTCTAAACAGATCTACCACTCTAGAAACATAACATATCAGGGGACACGTGACCTACAAACCTGCAGATTGAACCACCAAAAATAACCAATTACCACTGGGTAGTAATCAACGTTGCAGGCCTTCCATTGGAAATTCCCGCGGGGCAAGAGTGTCATGTACCTGACTGTTGTTGTTCGTATACCCCATGCAAGGTTGGCCCCTCCAGTTATAAGTTGGTTTATAGACCCCATGAACTAGTTCGGAATATATTTACCATAAATCCAACCATTATAATTATTAGTAAGCTAAAACCAAAATAAATTATCCAGATATTCCCATGTTTTTTTTTTGTTTGCCTAGATAACCATTTACATCTCGATGTTTTTTCCGTTAACAAACTGCGGCCCCCACCTTGTGAATGTTAGTGATGAACTCTTTTTCATCCTTGCTTCATGCTGTGCCACTTCTTTGTGGTTTATACCAACCAGCAGTGGAAGTGACGCAGTTTCCAACTGGACTCCTCTGGCCCTGGGTTTCCCCTGACGGCCCTACCGAGGTTGAAAAATATTCAAACAGCTTTGCAATGCAGCGAAGTCCTTCAGGCGACATCTCGGCCGTTTTTCGCGTTTGGAGATGCTGGATGAGTCATAGATACCAACAAACATACCATGTAAATCCTTGTATATAAGTGCACATGTGTATATATATATATACAAATTGTATAATTACAATATATACATATACATATACATATACATATACATATACATATACATATACATATACATATACAATGTATACATATATACATAAATATTAATATACGATATTATTTATTATATATATATATATATGTCCAACTACAAAAGTTAAACCTTGAACATGGGATCAGCAAACCTCAAACATTGCGGTGAGTCGTGCGGTTGATGGTCCCGTTGCTCGATGAACCCTATGAGTTGGGATGGTGAAACCAGGTGACCGCAGAAAATTTTTGTTTTTTTGGCGCCACAAAGAAATTTGGTTACGGTTTATCTATTGTTTTTTTGTGTGAAGTATTGTACTTCGCCCACTGTTAAGGGATACAACCAAAGAATTATGGACGAAGAAAGTAGTAGTGAATGTTTTTCTTTGGATTTGGCTCAGTTGTTAGCCCATTAAAATTGCTGGTTGGTGGGTTGGAACATTTTTTATGTTTCCATTCAGTTGGGAACAATAATCCCAACTGACTTTCATATTTTTCAGAGGGGTAGGTTGAAACCACCAACCAGATTGGTATTTGACCATCTCAGGGGACATAACAGACGAACCTCTGGGATTGGTAGCAAAATGGGGGGTTCCAGATGAGCCCAAGCGATCAGGATCCCTTGTGTTCATGTTTTTCCCCCCTAGAAAGCTGCAGTCAAGGTGGCTCATTCGGTTATTCCATGGTATTCCCTCATTTTCAGACAAACTCCACACTTTGGATACACATTTAAAGTATAGTTTGGTGATTTTAGTGCAAATTCTAGTCTTTTGCTATCAATTTTGATAGATACTAATCAACCAAAAATCATGTTTGCTATAACATGTCTGATAAACACCTACTGAACTTGAAACAAAATGGTTGCTGCCAAGTAAACGTTTTTATTGTGCAGATCCTCTGGGGTTGGCCAAGACGTGAGGCGGGCCTGGCCCATGTCTTTCAAGGGCCACTGATGGATGCTTTGAAGACAGCGCTGAAGGCCTGAGTTCTGGGCCGTTGGAGGCACTTGGAAAGATGAAAGGATTTAATGTCAACCTTGGATTAATAAACTCCAAACGGCTGTGGAATTGGGGGGGTGGTTACCGGTTACGATTTAAGGATCAAATTATCACTATTTGGGGAGTACCACCCTAATTCATAAACCGTGGTTTATTCATCCAGCCTTGACATTAAAGTGAGGGATTTAACAAACAAGCTCATGGTTTAACCATCCAAAATATGGGACGTTTGCAAAACTTGGGCTTTCACCATCGAAAATAGGGGATTTAAACCCGTAAAACTTGTTTTTGTTTAACCATCTGAAATGGGGATTGATAGAATTCAAACATCTAGGAAAACCATCAATCATGCGGAATCTGAGTCAACCGATTGGATGGTTACTTCACCTAAGACATTGAGAAAACATGGAAAAATCATGTTCATGTATGTTCATGTGATTTCATGGGAACATTATTGTTTGTACTGGGTATCTATTCCAACATCAAAAAGAATCAATTGAACCATCTCAATGAGCTGGATCCAGCTTTTGATCCTAGGCCCCCCAGCGGCATCTGGATTTAACATGATTTAGCCAACCTGCCAACTTCCGGGAATTTCAGGGCCCTGTTCTATGGCCATCCACCCCAGGAACCCCAGAAGGTGGGGGTGTCCCTCTTCGGTACAGCCATCGACATCGTGTCCAGCATCATTCAAGACGTGTCTCGGGCCGCGATTTTTCGGAGTTTTCCATGGGATTTTCTGAGGGGATTTCATCGAGAAAACTGTTGGGTTGATAGCTGATTTATGGCTAAGTTACTAACACATAACTATATAGGTTAAGTGTTGGGTTGCTGGGGAGTATGGCGAACTAGTTGACGGTTTTGAACCAGTTGACCTATGAGTCCAACTTAAGGTTTGGGTATGTTTGGGTTGATTCGGGGGTATACACCTGTGGTTATGAAGTTATGGGGATTCGAAGCCAACTTATAACCCATAGGATCCATGTATGCTATATATGGTAACATTTACCATCAATATACCCCCAATGTTAGCATATATACCATACATGGATCCTATGGGTAACTGGGGGGGTACCACCTTGCAGATATCTGACTCGCATCCACCTTGCGCCTCAAAGGACCCTTCTCGTGTTCCCCAGATGATCGAATCGGGTGTGCTGTGGGGAGCCTTGAGGCCTTGATGGGATGCATTGAAGCAGAAAAGAAGGGATTTCACCAGCAACAAGTCGGGATTTCACCAAGAAACTGATGTGGGTCTAAGCAGCAAAACCTGGCGATTTCATCAAACATGTGGATTTCAACAGCAAGAAATTTGGGATTTACCATGGATTTATTCCACCTCACTGCGATGTCACTGTGCACGACTGTAAATGGAAGTTATTAAGAGTCACCTTACAACAACATGTTCTGGCAGTAAGCCATCCAATTGCCTATGGTCAGTTTTACCTTGTATGTTTAATGATAAAAAAATGGGTTTTGATACGACAATCATGGGAACACCGTGGAACACCGTCTATCTACAGGGATTAAGGCAACAACAATGGTTGAACCACCCCACCAGTCAGGCAACAGGCCGCCCCACTACTCCAGGGCACCGCCCCCGGGGCTCATTGCAATCTATGCAAATCTTGAAGCTCCACATTTTTTTGGGATCAGTGAACCTGGCAATTGTGAGCAGAATCCCTTTATTTAAATTTATATAATGGTACGGTATATATATATGTGTATATTATATAATATACAGAGCATATTTGATGACTTCTTCAAATCTTGCGCGTAATGGAACTGGGAAAATCTGTAACAAAACTCAATAGGACAACATCAGATGTAAGTCATTTTGAAGGATTGAACAAGTTGAACATGGACCCAGAAGCTCGGGCCAAGGCCGGGTATTCTGGCGGCCCTCAACAAAGAAACCCTCAGAAGTCAGGGCAGCTCAGTTGGTTCGACGGCGCCATAGTCCAAGGTTTCCAAGGTCAAGCACCAAGCCAATCAATGCCATTCATTATCATTTATCATATGTTAATCTGGTTGGTGGTTTGGAACATGGCCTTTATGACTTTCCATACATTGGGAATGTCATCATCCCAACTGACTATACTAGGCTATAATATTTTTTCAAGATGGTTAAAACCACCAACCAGTAATAGAAAATCATGTTTGTGTTGTCTATATTTATCATATGTTTCTCATGATTTATCAATGTGTTCTTTAACGTAGCAGTGAACAGCTGCCATGGTTCATAGGTCGGAACGTCATACGTGGGACTTTTCGGGTCTTTCGATCTTCGAAGGAGAAGACGACACTAATGTCATGCAACAAGCAGAAGCAGAAGGAAACCAGAAAAAAAAATACTTTACTTCGTGTGATCCCCACCATGACATTTATACATTTTCTTACTGGCAAATCTTCTGGCATTCTATCTGACATATCTTCTGGCATTCTATCTGGCATTCTATCTGGCATATCTTCTGGCATATGTTCTGGCATATCTTCTGGCATTCTATCTGGCAAATCTTCTGGAATTCTATCTGGCATATCTTCTGGCATTCTATCTGACATATCTTCTGGCATTCTATCTGGCATATCTTCTGGCATATATTCTGACATATCTTCTGGCATTCTATCTGGCAAATCTTCTGGCATTCTATCTGGCATATCTTCTGGCATTCTATCTGACATATCTTCTGGCATTCTATCTGGCATTCTATCTGGCATATCTTCTGGCATATATTCTGACATATCTTCTGGCATTCTATCCGGCATTCTATCTGGCATATCTTCTGGCATATATTCTGACATATCTGCTGGCATTCTATCTGGCATTCTATCTGGCATATCTTCTGGCATATGTTCTGGCATATATTCTGACATATCTCTGGCATTCTATCTGGCATTCTATCTGGCATATCTTCTGACATTCTTTCTAACTTTCTTCTGCACATTCTTTGTCCCATATCTTCCTACATGAGGTCCGGCAGGGAACACTTGGCGTGGATACTCGCGGTTGAGGTCCGGCAGGGAACACTGGCATGGATGGTCGTGGTTGAGGTCCGGCAGGGAACACTGGGCGCGGATGGTCGTGGTTGAGGTCCGGCAGGGAACACTGGGCGCGGATGGTCGTGGTTGAGGTCCGGCAGGGAACAATGGGCGTGGATGGTCGTGGTTGAGGTCCGGCAGGGAACACTGGGCGTGGATGGTCGTGGTTGAGGTCCGGCAGGGCACACTGACGTGGATGGTCGTGGTTGAGGTCCGGCAGGGAACACTGAGCATGGATGGTCGTGGTTGAGGTCCGACAGAGAACACTGTGGATCGCGAGTCGCAGTTGAGCAGGAGGACGAGGAGGACGAGGAGGAGGACAACGAGAGGAGGAGGAGAGGAGAGGAGGAGGAGGAGGACCAGGCAACTGACATAAAATCTAACAACCCTCACCTGGCAGGTGGGGAAAAAAGTTATAGAAATGGAAGATAATCTGGTTGGTGGTTTGGAACATGAATTTTATGACTTTCCATATATTGGGAATGTCATCATCCCAACTTCCATAATATAGGGATAATCCTTCCCAACTGACTTTCATATTTTTTCAAGATGGTTAAACCACCAACCAGATGATGTTCCCTATGTGACAGTAAAGCAACAATACACCACCCATATTAATTAGTGATGGTGTATACCAGTAAAAATACCACCTGTTTATGGTTAAGGGAAGGTTTACTATTGTTTTCCAAAGTTCTCAACCCTGGCTGGATGTCCGGGTCAAAAACTGTTGACCCCTTGAAGTTTGATGGTTTCCAAAAAAAACATCTGGTAATGGGTATGGCTCAACCAAAATGTTGATCTCGGGAAAAAAACAACAAGTTTTCGACCCAACAATGAGCCATCTTGATCCATTCTGTGGGTCCCTGGGTGTCTCAAAAACTTGGACGTCATCCCATGGTAGATCCAGGTGCTGAATGCCTTTCTTTCGTGCCCGGTGTGTTGGCATCCATCGCCTTGCACGCTGTGGGGAAGCACTGCGGGAAACTTCGAGCGATCGGCTTGTTGCGGGCGCTGGTGTTTGTTTTCTTTCGCTGCTCCTAGAGCCTCCAAATACCACCAACAAATGGGGGAAGTGCTAAGACTACGGGGAAAAATTTGGAAACATCATTGTTGAATATTTTTGAAACATGTACAAACAGAGGGTCTAGGTAAAGGTCTAGGGTGATACAAAATCAGATGCTCCCACGTCCGAAGCCACTGAGGTGGGTGAAGACTTTCTCCTCAATTCGCCATCGAAGTATCTTGGCTTCGCGGCTTCGAGGGTCTACAGATATCCACAGATATCCATGCCTTGCCCATATGCTCCATGTACGGAATGTTTACCAACATTTGCCAAAATTTACCCAGTCATGTAGGTAAATATAAACCATACATGGAGCATATATGGGTTGCATCACTGGGATCTCAAGAAATCCTATCGCTTCATCCTCACTGCAGGCCTATTCAACTCCTAACGGAGATTTTGGTTGACACCAACTATGCACCGCTGTTGCATTCTCAGCCTGTCTGGGGCACCCAGAGGTGGTGACTGATGAAGATTCTGGTCAACACATGTTTTTATGTACCATCTGGTTATGACTAACAGTTTGCCATGGAAAATCACCATGCTATTAATAGGTAAACCATCTATTTCTATGGCCAATTGTTCATGGCTATGTTAAATAACCAGAGGGTAAAAAACAGTAAAACCATGGGAGTATATGCTATCTAACCATAAAAACTAGGGGTAAATAGGGGATTTGACCATGAAAATACCGTAAAACTAGGGAGTTTCACACTATCTTTCTATCATTTGGATTTGACCTGAAGCTCTAGGGAAACATTAGCTGGGTAATAGAAAGTGCAATCCTTTGCTATTCATGGTGATATTAACCCTAACCAGCGAAGAAAAAGGTGACGTTCCCAGGGTCAAACTAGAATTCAGGTGGTAATTGTTATGAAGACCCTGGGAATTGTAATGTTATACAGCTGGTTAGACCCTGGGAACGTCAAACTAGAATTGGTATGCGACAAAGAGAACCATAGCCATTGTCATTCACACAGTTCCTGACAGGGACTTGAAACCAATGTTGTGCTTGACCTGATTTTGAGCTACGCTTAGTCAAACGGTCCTTGCCGGTTCTCATCTATCTACTTGTTTATGTGTGTTTTCGCCACTGTCCTGGGATTTTTAACACCGTCACACTAAAAATTGATGCTTAATCAGCCCACGACCTGAGAGGAGGGAGTTAAATCATGTGAAATCTCCTTCATGGTATCCCTTCCCCCGTTCATATCAAACACCCCTAATCGAACGAAACCAGGGTTTTTGGTTGGGAATTTCCACATTTTATCGGGACCATAGAAATGGGGTGTTTGATATTAGGATGATGGGATTACTTAGGATATCTTAGGATGACCTTAGGATTTTTACCACTCCCCGGATCTCATGGTCCAGCCACCCTGGGCTGCCGCCAGGAGATTGCGCAGATCATGAGTACGCAGGTGGACAAGGCCTTTTTGCTGGGAGATTCATGATCCAAATGTATCCGAGCGTATCCAAAGCTATGAATCTTTGGAATGATGACACATTTACCCTATGGTAAATTAACATAGCTATGGAAAATCACAATTTTTAGTAGGTAAATCAACTATAAAATGGCCCTTTCCAATAGCTACGTTAAATTACCAGAGGGTAAAACAAATTGAAATCGTAATGACTATATGATTGGATCATGGATCATGAGTTCATCCTTCCAACCACTTCCGCGATCCAAATCATATCAAACGCATGGGATGATTAATATCCTTGGCTCCCATGTACTCTGTGTGCCATAAATATTGTCTTCTTGGATCTAGTAGCCAGATGAATATTGCCCCCACCATGGGATGGTTTTGATCTATATAAATCAGATGAATCGCTAGAACTGGGCACGTCCCAATGAACAGCATCACCTTCAAAAGTGAAGGGATAGCCTCCAGTAATCAGAGGTGGCAATGGAAAATCGAACATCAATTATTGTCCCAATAAAACCTTCATTCATCACTTACTGGTGCTAAACGTAGGGAATGGATGGGTTGCTGGGGGTTGCTGGGATGATTATGACTAGTGACTAGTGATTATGGATGATTATGGATCAGTCCCGATAATTCCCTGCGTAAAACGCACCAGTCATGGATATCCAATTGCCGCGTTTGGTGACACCGATGGGGACCAGAGTCAGCCTGGCCGCAGGTGCTGCGCAATCGACCCAGTGGGCCTAGCAAGCTCACTGAACATGTGGGGGAACCAAGCTTGTTCGGAGCAGCTGGGTAGTTGCATAGGTGTAGGGATCCTCAAAAAGAAACAACACATGTTCACAATTACTAAGGTTGGTGATTGTTGGTGATGTTGGTGACAACTAATCAAATAATATCAAATACACCAAGTAATTGTTGGTTTCAAACATTTTTTCCCATATATTGGGAATAGTAACCCCAACTGACTTTCATATTTTTCAGATGGCTTAAAGCCACCAACCAGCAAGTAATTGTTGGTGATTGTGGGGGATCCAACATCTGGATTGAGGTGATGTTGCTGTAGCTCCCCGTGTCCCTAGTGGCTTCGCAGGTGGTGGAGTGCATGCTCTCAGCCATGAGGGGCGTCATTGAGGAAGCAAAGGCGGCGCCGCGGTGAACGAAAAAAATCATGCTGGAAGTTACTAAGCTAGCCCATATGCTCCATGGTGCTGGAATATTTACCAACATTTGCCCTAAAAATCACTCAAATGTAGGTAAATATATGTAAAACATTGTAAAACTACCATACATGGAGCATATGGGTAAGGTAAAAGGTAAAACGCATCGGTAACACGCATACAGCATAGGTGAAACATGGTAAAAAACATTTGTAAAGCATGATAAAGCAGGGAAAAAACAATATAGGCTCTTGGAAGTAGAAATATATGGGTGTGTCTGGAAATGTGGTATATCCTGCTCTTTCATAGGGAACATGATGAGAATCCATTGGAATTGGGAGTACCCTATTTTCAGACAAACCCATATTGTAAAGAACACATATGTAAAACATCATAATATGCTAACTGTATACTGAACATACATGGCATGATTATCACCATGGAACACAGCTGTCAAAGACAACAGTAGATACCATCACCTTTGAGTTATTTGTCAGATCGGAAACCATACCCCCAAATCACACGGTAACATAACCCTGGGTACCTATCTCAGAGGTAAGAGGAAGCTTTCGGACACGTATTATATGTACATACTTACTACATCTGTATTACATGACACACCAACTTATATCAAGTTGTTTATAGCATTCAAACCGAACGATATGTTTTGGATTGTTTTGGAGCGATTGACCAGCGATTTCAAGCAACACATTTGGATTCAAGATCCCTCTGGGAGGATCAACCGGAAAATCGGAGGGCTGGATTGGAACATAAATCATTCAGTGTATCTACCGTAGACCATCTTTAATATGACTCTCTTGGTACCAAGAAACAGAGACACTTGATCAACACTATCATTTTTTTCAGTATTTGATAAGAAAACTATCAAATTTGCGCAGCTATATCTTCCAATTCTGGTAGAAAACGCCGTAGCTGCTCAACCCAATGATCCCAGACTTGGTTCACGGGAAATTGTACAGGAACTAGCGCTATGTTTGATGACAAAAACTTTGGATTTTGGCTTGTAATCAATCAATTTGCCGGTTTAACAAGTCAAATCCACATTTCTGATCATGTTTAGCCTAGAATAAATCAACATAGATGTGAAAAACATTGAAAAACCTATGATTTCCCCTATGATTTCCCCAGGAACAAGTTCCAAACAAATTGGTGGCAAAATTCCATATCTATATGATAGTTTACAGAAGGGTATGCTTTAGAATTTTGGTGACCTCCCTAAGTCTTCGTCATTTTCCCATGCTTGGGGTCACCCAGCCAGGCATATCCAGATTGGACTCCCTTGGACCTCCAGGTGGGTGTCGATGTGGGATAGGTCATGGTTAGTCTATAGCTGGTTGGTGCTTTGGAACCATGGTTTAGTATGGGGTAATGATGGTTAATGATGTTTTTTTTTTATGGTTAATAATTTATAATGGTTAATAATCACTGGTTGGTGCTGACTGGAACCATGGAATTTTGTATGACTTTCCCATCATATTGGGAATTTCATCATCCCAACTGACCAATATTTTTCAGAGGGGTTGGTTGAAACCACCAACCAGAATTTTATGACTTTCCATTCAGAAAAGGGAATGTCATCATCCCAAGTGACGAACTCATATTTTCCAGAGGGGCTGGTTGAAACCACCAACCAGATAGTGTGTTTATGGTTTAGATGTATTTAGTAACTTAGATTAATATAGACAGATGAATATGACTTAGCACACTTCACATGGTTGTGTTTGATTATGTTCATAAGTTGTGTTTGAAGGGTACATATATATCATTTACTTCAGTTGCTTTGGTGTGCCCAGCTTCGACATAGTTTGACACCTGTCCAGATACGGGTGGGTTGCAGCTGCAAACAAAGGGGAATTGACTGGCAAACAAAGGGGAGTGCACCAAGAGAGCGAAAAAGGACATTCATTTGCTGGTTGGTGGTTTGGAACATTTTTAATTTTCCATAAATTGGGAATGTCATCATCCCAACTGACTTTCATATTTTTCAGAGGGGTAGGTCAACCACCAAGCAGTATACAATAGTAATTTAACAAAGCTATTGAAAATATGGCCATTTTTATAGTTACTGGTATTTCCCTATTATATAAAAATGGTGGATCTTTCCATATAGTTATGTAAACGTTTACTAGAAATCATTGGATTGGTTTAAGGGAAAATCTTAACCGGAAACCCATGGGTTTTTACCATCAAATATAGGGCTTAAACCAGTAAATTTTCCCATAATCCAATTCTATGAGTGGGTCTTTCTTCATGGAAATAGCTTTTTTGAATCAATGTGGGACTTATGGTTGATATATACTTAATATATGGTTATAAAAATAATGGTTAATGATGGTTATATCATAATAATCTCTCCATTGGTTTGGGTCATTGGGTGGTCTCCAATCGAAAAAAACCACACCGAAACACCGTGAGACCTGAAGACTGCGGAGACGGAGAAGTTAGCCCAGCAGGGGTACAGCAATGGTGAAGTTTTCCCCTAGGAAAATGGAGGTTTTAATGGGAAAACCCATAGGAAAACCCATAGGAAAAGCATAGGAAAATGGAAGTATTACCCGGCCTGGTAAACGTTTACAGTTTGCGAACTTGAAAATGACCATAGACATAGTGGATGTTCCCATTGATAGCATGGTGATTTTCCATAGTTGCCAGCATTTTTGCAGGATGCCAAGGATTCGCCATGGTGTGATGTTTGGATCACATACCTGTCATTTGGCTTTCAGGGCTAAAACCACCAGCTTGGATGATGGCAACTGTGATCAGCCCATGGTTGCTGGTTTACAATTTCAAGTTGCTGAGCCATTCGTGAATGGGTGTGTCTGTAAAGAGGGTCGTCATAACTCTTAACTGAATCCCAATCTTTCAGAGTCATCAATTTCATTATCAAAATGATCAGAAATTGGGGATCAATCCGATGTTCAGACACAGGAACTGCATTTCCTCTGACTCCAGGACCACACGCAGTATTTGGCAGACCGGCTGGCGCCATTCAGTGCGCAGTCTCAGCCAGTTGCTGTGGGATTTTGTTGTTGGTATTCGGTATTCTGCTGTACAACCGTTTATATATGTGTAAACTAATATTTATTAGCAATAAAACAATAACAATACAATAATGATGCTATATAACATAACTATAATTACAGGGCGTATAGGCCTCGCATATTGGAGGCACTTACCTGAAGTGATCCCCTGAACATGTTGACCAACTGCTGGATTTATGCACAGGGCAGTCATACAAGCGCCGATATATTATTGCCTTAAAGGTGGCTTATATCCTAGAGAAAAACTTGGGAAATGAATGCGAACTACCCTCTGGTAATTTAACACAGCCAAGGTATAGATGGCCATTGATAGTTGGTTTACGTATGAAAATGGTGATTTTCCATAGCTATCCTAGTTTTGGGGAATTCCACCTGAAGCAAGTGACACCATGTAACCATATGTGACGATATGTAACCAGTTTCACTCTGTCATTGCCCGAGTCAGTGAACACCACATATGTAAGAAACCCATGAAAAGCATTAGTGACGAAGTACCCTCCGGATCTTTCATGGGAGATTTAACAAATGGATTATTTCTATTGATGGACCTGTAGATATAGTGGGATATAGTGTGATTACAAACTGAAGATATGCCTTTGGTAATTTCAACATTGCTATGGTATAGATGGCCCATTTACCCTCTGGTAAACGTTTACATAACTATGGAAAATCACCATGTTTAATGGGTAAATCAACTGTAAATGGACCATGTTCAAGTTCGCAAACTGTTAATTTACCAGAGGCTACTTCGATGAACTATCTATATTCTACATGTTTTTTTTGCCAATTTGCCATGTGAAACTGACCCCAATCGTTGATGCGTATTTATCCCATCCGCATCTTGGGATTGTCGTGCAATGGATGTGAACTTTGCCCAAAATCGGGATATTATAATATAGAATATTATAATATAGGATATTACATAATTTATAGAATTTATAGCTACATAACCGGTGTTAGTTGCTTTCAAACATGAACGCTACAGATATTACAATGAATATACTAATAATGTACTGTACACTATATAATATATTAATTTGATATGTGCCATGGTCAAACACGTGTAGATTTCTCATAAACAGGATGGTTATCAATTCATTTATACTTACCCTCTGGTAATTTAACATAGCTATTGAAAATCACCAAAATTTTTAATGGGAAAATCCACTATTTCTATGGCCGTTTTCAATAGCAAACCGTTGACATAACCAGAGGGTAGCCATTGTGTTTGGATTCCCATTGTGGGATGACCAGGGGCACCATGTACTGTACCTGTTGAGGATGGCGGGCCTCTGTAGATGCCATTGGGTATATGTGTTGTATGATTTTTTATCGGGATTTGATGACCCATAAATGGATGGATATTTTCTAGTTTAGTACAGTAGAACTTTTCATCGTTGCTATAGATGGTAATACATGTATATATACATATATATTTTAAGGCTATCCTCTAACAGTAACTCTTTATCTAAAAATAAACCTTAAAAGTACACCTTAAGGGTAATATAAACAATACACCTTAAAATGCACCTTAAGGGTAATAACCATATATTGTATTATTATAATTATTATGATTGTTATTATTATTATTACTATTATTATTGTTATTATTATTATATATATTGTTGGAACCCGATCCCTAGCCTGTCATGAGGTCGATTTTGCTGGTCCATCTTGCAGACCAACGAACAGACCTTGAAAGCCTTCCTAGAGAAGTGTGGGGCCTCAGATGATGCCATGGCTGCAGCAACTTGCCGTTAATAGGAACTACAGGTTGAAATCCTAGGCATCAAGTCCCTTATTGGCAAACTGATCAGTGATGTCTCCATTTTTGTTGGTCAAATCGAGATTTGTGTTGGTTAAACCTTCAATTTTTGTGATCGAAACCGCCATGTTTATTGGTTACAGCTTCATTGTGTATCATTTGTGTCGGAAAAAATCTCCATTTTTGCTGGTTGACCCTCCCATTTTTATTCATGTTTCACCTTGGTCCGGGTCTCGGATCCCAGGAAGGGTTTAGCCTTGGTACGACAGCTGCAAGAATTGCCCTGCGAGGGAGCCCGGCCAAGGGGATTGGGAATATTGAGACAGCAAAAGGCAATGTGAAAAGTTGGGCTATATCCATCTATATCCCCAGTGATTGCAGAATACTCATCTGGTTGATGGTTTGGAACATTTTTTATTTTTCCATTCAGTTGGGAATAATCATCCCAACTGACGAAGTCCATCATTTTTCAGAGGGGTTGAAACCACCAACCAGTCTATGATCTATAGAGATTTCAATTCATCAATCATCCTAAGAATTCATCGCCATTCCCGGCATGGTCCTCAATCATCAATCGGCCACTGGGTAAATTTTAAATGCAACGACCGAAGCCCTCCCGAAGCCTGCTTCATCATGGTGAATGTTTTTTGGGGAAATCATCCCCAGCCATGGCCGAACTGATTGGTGAAATATTAAAAATTATATACTCAGATTTATGGATGATGTTCCCAGCTAGAAACCTCCATCTATATAGGAGATGTGTCCATGTTTCCATGGAAAATGTGCCCAGCTGCAGATTCCCATGAGATGACCTCATCTCGGTGGAATCCCAGCCCCACAGAAATAAAACTAGTCCCCACATGGTCGATATAATGTCGATATCTATTTGGGATATCACCCATGCCATAACCCATATGCGACCCATGGTGCTGGAATATGCACACCAACATGACTGCCCGTGTCCAAAATCACCCAGTCATGTAGGTAAATATACCAGCACCATGGGTTGCATATGGGTAATGGGATTCTTAACGGGAACATCTAACATGCACATGGCTAAAAGTATCAGAAGAATCAAAGCATCTGTGTATCTGACATCACCATTTCTGATTGTTGATTCCGTGATTCCGAAAATTGGTTTCATGGCAAAAGCTGCAGGAAAACCGAAACCCTGTATCTGGAGGTGAAAACCCTACTTTCGACCATAGATGGTCTCCCAAATCAATCAATTGATTGGATGACGCCCCTTAAAATGTAGTTTTGAACTGTTTTTGATGGCTGTCTCCTATGAATCCCAATTCATTGCATGATTTCCAGTAGATGTTCCTTTAAATCAATTCATTGTTTTGCACCTTTGAGCATTTGGAAGATTGAATTTGGCTGAATATACCGGTCCTCCCCCACATGAATAGATCATGTAAATCATAATCCATATGAATCATAAGGTTTCCACATCTTTGCCGGTCAAATCAGTAATGATTTGATACAGTAACAATGAATGACTGCCAGACATTCGCCAAGAATATCTCCGTACATGAAATGTCTATGCCAAGCATGATAAGGACAAGAATTAGAGATGGTGAAATGGAGGTTTCCAATCCCTTCTGGGTTACCCCAAATGATCCAAGTCATGGATGATCCTGAAGTATTGAAACAAAAACATGGATCTGGTTGGTGGTTTGGAACATGACATTTAATGAATTTTGTCGTTTCTTTTCCATATATATATATATTGGGCATATTCATCATCCCAACTGACGAACTCCATCATTTTCCAGAGGGGTAGGTCAACCACCCACCAGATGGTGACGACTGGGGACCCCCCGGTGACGTCGGCAAGCATCGAAAACCCCACCGTCTGATGGTCAAGTCCCGATGAGATCCCGGGCCCCCATTGGGGTTACCGAACGAAAAATCACCATCTTTAGATGATCACATGCTATTAAAAGATGGTTCGTTTATGAGGATTACCCATGCGAATTACCCATTTTACCTATTCATTTCGATAGTAAAACCATCATATCTTTAGATAGTTAACCCACCATGTTTATAGACGGTTAAATCCTCATCAAATCCCGATTTTCTTGAGGATGAACTCCCTTCCTTTCACTGAGGTCTTCCCTTTCATCTCACCTCCTTGGAAGGCAAGGATTTCTGCCCAGATGTGCCCAATGGCTATTGGTCACAAATGGGTACCCCCTAAAAAAAAATAAGATAGTAAATGGTTATTACATGTTATTACTACTACAGATAAGCTAAACTGTGGCACTACTACAGATAAGCTAAAGTCTGTGGCACTGTGGTCCCCTGAATCTTAAATGTTGAGCCATCCCCAAACGACTCAAGCATGAGATTTAGGGGTGAAAAAGTAAGTGTCAGAGGGATTTGACAATGTTTCCCGTGGTGATTTAACATGATTTAACCATGACATATAGTGGTTTTCCTACGGATACATACGGATGGAAAATCCGGATCATGGATGACCACATCACTGGAAGGGTGGATAACACCACAAAGCAAACCAGATGGAGCTAAAATGGATAACTTATATAACTTGGGGGCTTAGCCAACCAAAATGTTGGGGAATAAACCATGCATTTTGTTGGGGAGATGGGATGCCATGGATGAAACAAAATTGAGACAACATCAAGACTTTTTGGGGAGTTGCGCTGGCTTGTCCTACATAATGTTAGTGTGCTGATCAGTCAAGTTCCATCATTCCTCATATGTTTGTTTGGTTTTCATCCAGGGACGTTTCAACACAGACATGATGACACTTGGGGTGGTCAAAAACGACGAATTGAGGCTGTTGGAGATAGGTGACCCAACCTCCCAAACAAACATGTTATTTGACACTCTCTGATTGGTGATATCCATTGGTTTCAAACATGTTTGTTATTTTCCATTTCATAAATGGGATAATCCCAACCTCATTGACGAACTCCATCATTTTTCAAGATGGTGATTGCACCACCAACCAGATATTCTGACATTTAACGTGAATATTGGTCAGTCGAGTAAACGCTATATGGGATCTCCAAAGCAAACAGGTTTGATGTGCACATCTCCCACATACACCCAAAGATGAACATAGGCCACTCATCTAGTGGTTTATCAACGTTTTCAAACATGTTTTCTGACTATTTGATTTTTTTTCGCATCCCATTCAGACAAGCCTCACCCAAGAAATCAGTTTCAATTGAGTGATCTCCCCCATGCCTCACTGTCGTCCCGTGAAGTTGGCGATTCCGCCGAGACCCAACCGTGGCCAAGTGTTTTACTCAACTGAAGTTGGTTTACCCTTTGGTCCCTTTGGTAATCCATGGCAATTAGAAATCCTCTTTGGAGGTTTATAACCGGCAAAATCATCTACAAATGATTTTTCTTTTCCGTTGCCGATGTTTGATTACCGGGGGGGGGTTACGGTCGGGGGGTCGCATGTACACACGAAACAAACATCGCATGTACACGCCAACGACTTTGGGAAGTGGATTGTATGTACACGCGGCCAAGATTTTTGAAGGATGTCTCGCAGAAAAGCTTCGTTTTTGAGCTTCGAAGCTCCATTTTTGAAGGAAGTCTCGCAGAAAAGCTTCGTTTTTGAGCTTCGAAGCTTCATTTTTGAAGGAAGTCTCGCAGAAAAGCTTCGTTTTTGAGCTTCGAAGCTCCCATTTTTGAAGGAAGTCTTGCAGAAAAGCTTCGTTTTTGAGCTTCGAAGCTCCCATTTTTGAAGGAAGTCTTGCAGAAAAGCTTCGTTTCTGAGCTTCGAAGCTCCATTTTTGAAGGAAGTCTTGCAGAAAAGCTTCGTTTTTGGATTTTCGAAGTTCCATTTTTGAAGGAAGTCTTGCAGAAAAGCTTCGTTTTTGGAGTTTCGAAGTTCCATTTTATGAGTTGTGAGGTGATAAGCGAGGTGTGAGAAGTGGAGCTGTGATGGGTTGCAGTGTGATGAGTAAGATGTGTGAGATGGGATGAGTTGTGGTGTGAGAAGTGGTGTGAGAAGTGGAGCGGTGATGAGTTGTGATGAGAAGTGGAGCTGTGATGAATGAGGTGTGAGAAGTGGAGCTGTGATGAGTTGTGGTGTGATGAGGGAGCGGCGCGGCGGGAACGGGAGCGGACGGGAGCGGGAGCGGCAGGATCCAAGGGAAAAAAAACAAGAACCCCACACAGTGATGTGGGGAATTAAGAAATAGAATGGAGACCATGGTATAGTCTGGAACGCAGGGGGGGAAGTTTAAATAAAGAAGTAGAATGGAGACCATGGTTAGGTGGAACGCAGGGGGGGGAAGTTTAAATAAAGAAGTAGAATGGAGACCGTTGTATGGTGGAACGCAGGGGGGGGGAAGTTGAAATAAAGAAGTAGAATGGAGACCATGGCTATGTGGAAAAGCCGGGGGGGAAAGTTTAAATAAAGAAGTAAGGAATGGAGACCCATGTTAGGTGGAACGCAGGGGGGGGAAGTTTTACATCAAAAGAAGTAGAGACTGGGGAGGACAGTTGTATGGTGGATGGAACGCAGGGGGGGGGAAGTTGAAATAACAGCAGTAGATGGAGAACATTGGATAGGTGGAACGCAGGGGGGGAAGTTTAAATAAAGAAGATAGATGGAGACCGTTGTATGGTGGAACGCAGGGGGGGCAGTTGAAATAAAGAAGTCGAGTAGAATGGAGACCATGCTAGGTGGATGGAACGCCAGGGGGGGGAAGTTTAACTAAAGAAGTAGCATGGGCCCTGGTTAGGTGGAACGCAGGGGGGGAAGTTTAAATAAAGAAGTAGAATGGAGACCATGGTTAGGTGGAACGCAAGGGGGGGAAGTTTAAATAAAGAAGTAGAATGGAGACCATGGTTAGGTGGAACGCAAGGGGGGGAAGTTTAAATAGAGAGGTAGAATGGAGACCATGGTTAGGTGGAACGCAGGGGGGGGAAGTTTAAATAAAGAAGTAGACTGGAGACTGTTGTTTGGTGGAACGCAGGGGGGGGAAGTTGAAATAAAGAAGTAGAATGGAGACCGTTGTATGGTGGAACGCAGGGGGGGGAAGTTTTAATAAAGAAGTAGATTGCAGACCATGGTTAGGTGGAACGCAGGGGGGAGAAATTTTAAATAAAGTTTAAGAGTATTGGTGTGTACATGTGATCGCGGTGTGCACATGTGATCCGAATCTGCGTGCGCAGGTAATCTTAAGGGCTTCAAACGGGCTTTGTGTGTACATGTGATCTGGATTTGCGTGCGCGGATGATCCCTTGACCGCTGCGGATCAAAGGATGGGCGGATGGGTCACCAAATATGT